CTCCGCAAGGCTATTCAGCCTCTCCCTACACTCCTGCACCAGAAGCGACCTGATCTCGTAAGAGGAGATCGCCTTCAGCGCCGCTTGACTATCGCTTAGAATAGCTATACGCTCATTGCGATAGTTGCGATGGAGGTTTATTTCTAGGCACCGGCTTATAACATACACCTCTGCCTGAAAAATGCTCGGGAACTCCCCCATGGATACTGGGAGCCTAGTGCGTGGGCCCACAATCCCTGCGCCAATTCCCTCCGACATTTTAGAGCCATCTGTGTACCACCTTATARTACTGTTCCTCAACAACCGCTCGAGGTTGGAGTCGTTCCACTCCTCTTTGCTGCCGAGAGTGACCTTAAACCTCTTCCTTAGGTTTACCTTTTTAGTAGTACTATCCCTCGGGAGGAGGACCAGTGGTAGCTTGCCACTTATCTTCTCCATCCTCCGGGATGAAACTATTTTTCCTTTTCCCCACCCCTCTGCCGTTATTTGCAGAAGAGTCTGTTTGGCTACCAAACCGATGACCAGATGAAGCGGAGTAAGTTCAAGGAGAACCTCCAGTGCCGCCGTTGGACAGGTTTGTAATGGTTACTACAAGAGTTGGTTCGATTCTGTTGGTTGATTCAAGTGTTGGCACCTTATTTTTCAATATGAGTCGAAAAAATAATTTTCGTTTAATATCTACATTCATCTTTTATAACTTAGCTTTCGTGTTTCCCCTATGTTCGACATAATGTGTCGTATTACAAAGGTTTTTAAATATTATTTCTAAGGTTGAGGCTTTTCGGTATACGAATATTAAATATGTATGGTTTTTGCTATCACTATGATCTATTTTGAACTATTCTTCTTTCTATTTGCTTCTTCTTCTAAATGTTTGCTATCTTAACCTCAATAACAAATCTACATGGCACAATTACAACTAACATCACTCATCACAACGGTGCGGACACGAAACACAAATGTTTTGCAAATGAAATGAAATCGTTACACACCAAAATTCAACTTCTAATCACTGGCCGAATCTAACGCGCCGAAAAATATTTGTCTCTATTTGTAACCTCAACAAACGACGTACTAAATGACTAACATAAGTGCCGCTAAACCACAATGACAACAAATTAACAATTATCATGAAATTGGCGTGCCAAATAATCATTACCTTGTTCATATTCAATAACCCCTGGACTGAATGCACATAACGTCACCAACATACTTATGTACAACCTAAATATACCGGCGTGGGTGTGCGGTTTTAGGTCCTCCAAAGTCGTAATGTTTTACTGCGTAATAAATTGCTTGGCAATTTCAAATTGGATGTGGCCACAGTTTGGCATCATACAGGTAAACATAAATAACTGTGTAAGCGATGTATAAATATCGGTAGAACAAAGTACCTTCTAGAGATAAGACTCTTACTTTGGCATTGCACTTGATACCTAAGGGTTTATGGATTTAGGTGTCTTTTTTTCATATTAATTATTAAGTATACAGAAATTCAAAAATCAAAATTATATACTACTATAGCTGATTTTAGTATAGATATTATCGTCATATTGGAATTTATTTTTTACAAACCCATCGATTTGATTCGATTCCGATCCTGTTCATCAATTTTGTTATACGTTTCGCTTCTAACAATGTTTACGGAATGAACTTGTTTTTACTTCTGTAACTCACTTAAGAAAGCTGTTTTAAATTTGGAAGCAAACGAGCTTATCGATATTAAATCCAAGCACATCGATTTATTACTGTTCCGAATATTAGATGAGCATCAAAATCCATAAGTTTTTTAAGCTTAACTGAATTATGTATAGAAGAAAATCAACACATTTCGAATTATTTTCTAAAATGGAAATTTAATTTTTATTAACATTTTGTAAAGTGCCGTACTTATATTTTATTTCACTATATATTTAAATTGTTTAATTTGTATATAAAATGACATTCACTCATGACACATAGGTTAGTTTAGATAACTGAAATATCCACATGGCGGGGGGATCACACATAGACTGTTATGTACAGTCCTTTTTGAAGACAGACGAAAAATTTCTATAGTTTAGTATCAGCAGTCTGTAAACAAAACTCTGTTCCTATCACAAATCTTCTTAGGTGCTTTATTTTCCCCTGAATGTCTAAAAGTATAAAACCGAGTTGATTTTGCCAGTTAGAACTCGTACAACTATTGTAAGGTGGACTTTGCTGAAATAGAAGATTTCGCGAGAACTCTTACAATTTACGCTGGGTCAGAAGGAGATTGCACAGCTGCTAGTAATGAAGTTTAAATTGCCCTTCACTAGTCTTACAGACAACAGCGTTAATCCGGATAAATTGTGCACTTAATCAGATCCAAATTTGTTGGTGACAGACGACAGCTATGCGAGTTTGAAACTCTCGTAAACAGCTGATTGTGGTTTTTGTAATATTTTCAATGAAGAATGATAGAAGATAAACATTGCAGCTGTTAGCCAACCAATTTTTACAAAAACATTTTTTATTACAAAAACATATCGACACGTTATTTTTAAAACTGCATCATAATATAACATCATAACATACAAATTCTTGTTTTATAATTGAAAATTAAAAAAAACAGCCGTCAGTCAATGGTGCCAATGAAAATGCAGTTAGCTCTATAAAATTTTTAGGACTAAATGGGAGTTAGCAAGGGCGTTATTCTCACTAACTCCTTAATTAATCCGGATTAACGCTGACGTCTGTCAATGCTACTAAGCGCACAGTCGGCGAGTTCAATGCTAATACCTAAACCTTTATAACAACCAATTCTGCTTGGAAGAAGGAGTGGACAGGAAGCCTAAACTGGGCTGATAGATAGTTTCCGACAGTATATTCCATCTGTTGGTTCCCACCTTGCAACGGATTTCTTAAAAGCGACTTATAAATGTACGAAGTATTATAACTTTGTGATTATGTGGATGGTAAAGAATTTACTGCTAGATTGTTTTAATGCCTATTAAATCCTTTGGCAAGCATTAACCGTATTTGATAGCTGTCAATCGTATTATATACATACGTATGACATCGTGATGTGATATGATACCTGACACTCAAACATCGAAACATTCCCTTGCATGTATCAATTATTGATTGTATAGTAATAAATGCAGTAAATAGTTCCATTACCCCTGTCAACCAACAAATGCTCAGGGCATTCTCAAATGTCACTTGACATAATTGTTCTTTTGAATGTCCATAGCACACACTTGTTGCAATAAAAAGCATACAGGCATACATTGAGTTCAAAATTTCGACATTTGCATGGAAGTTTTCGTACTTTTTGGTTTAAGTATGGTAGTGCGTGGCGGAAACCAGGCAAATTGTTTTGACGGTTATGCACGCCTGTAGTCAAATCAAGTTTCGCCTTTCCGTTAGTCAACAATTCAATGAGTGAAACTTTAGGCGCATCTGAGGACAAAGCTTTGCATCGCATACATGCATAAAATTTAAATTGAACCCAAAGGTTGACAAAGACCAAAAAAAGTGGAAGGAGGCAGAATGTATAAATGCTATTAACTCACTGTAGTAAACTAGCTTGTAGGGAATTTACATATAAATGGCACCACCAGCTAACTCAATGGGCATACTCAGCCCGAAATCTATTTGCTACATTTCGATTAGTAAGATACTAGTCTGAAACCAGTTCAAATTTAATAAAGGAGAAACCTATTCATTGTGGACCAAACCATTAAGTTTAATTAACAATATTAAATGGTTTCAACGAGTGTTTGTTGAAAAACTGGTAATTTCCAATTAGTTAAAATTTCGTAATTTGACATAGAGTTTTTAGTTTTTTATACCTTAGTATTTTATGATAAACTAACCACCTTTAATTATGATTCAACCAAAATTTAATCTTCTCTTAATGTTGTGTTTACTATTATTTACAAAGCAATAGTGATGCTTTTTTTTACGAAACTTCACTATAATTGGCGCTAAAGCAGCGTTGCTAATTATATTAAACTAGAGGATCCGGCCACGCGTTGCTGTCATATACATTTTGTACTATTATTCATATCATAAACTATTCAATACTTCGACAATTTTATTTAAAGGCAAAAACGTTTTTGGATATAAGAATCCAAGGGTTTGAACCTAGGGTTTAATTTTGAATATGTGCATGCAAATTTCATTAGATAAATAAATAACGAATTTAAGGCTCTTTTATCAATGTCTGGTTACCAGCCTTTCTGTCCAGTTAATAAAAATTATTGCTTAATAGAGCATTCATTTAACAGAGTGTTCATTTAATAGAGCTTTCACTGTATTTTTTATTTATTGATTGTTTTTATTATCCCATCTTCTAAGTTGGGTCGAATTGGTCACACTGTGCTAAATTTTGCTAAAATCGCTTCAGTAGTTTAGGCGCCCATCGTGGACAAACAACGTGACTCTTGATTTTTATATATTAATTTACAATTAATTTGCTTCGTAAATTGATACAATTCTTCTTGTACGTTAAAGTATTGCGAAATTGGGTGGTTTGGTGAATTAATCCAATTAACAGTGTTTAAGGAATATTAAGTGTGTTTGAGGAATTAGGTTTCGTTTTGCACATATTATTCATTTTTTTTTACTATGAAAACTTTTTAAAGTTAAAAAGCAGTCATATTTACAATCTCACAATTACAGTCTCACAATTTTTACACTTTAAAGTAACACTTCTATATCACTTAAATATTATCTAAATGTTTGCATGTTTTTTACCACTAAATTTTTCTTTCTACTTGTTTATTAAAATATCTAAACTGAACGCCTGTAATATTTACGTCTATGGGGACTAATTTTTTCTGGTACAATGCTTTCTGCAGATCATCAATTCTACCACAAATGGGCTTTACTTACCGATCCCGATGATTTTTATAGTGGTCCGAAAGGTTATCTGAAATGTGACATTGGTATTATTGGCAAAGGTGATACCGTAAAGGTGCCTCAAAAATCAGAAAAGGATCCTGACGACATCGAAGCGTAAGTATTATCGGCAATTACATTAATCACAATTAAAATCGGAAACCTCAAAATCATTCTAATTCACTGCTAATACAAACCCATTATGTAATATGAATCATTTTGAACACCAGACCAGATCAGTTTTGGTACTTTGCGATACCAGATCAAACTCAGTTACTAGTTGACGCGAATTTCTACAGACTCTGTTTCTTCACTCTCGATACCTCTTCCAGTGTATCATGCCGTGGAGACCCCAGTTGCTTACAGCGAACTCTGGACAAGTGCGCAAGAGATTATCGTTTCCTTGGTGCTTTGCTTTAGAGATTTTCTGCAATCTTCTCGATCTGTCAGCCATAATCTGCTGGCGTGTCGCCACCAGGCAGAGACCAGTTAGTACTCCGATCATGTTCCTAGAGTTCTTGCTATAGTATGCCAGCAGGAATTTTGTATACTTTTGATATACTGTTTTACAAATGACTTTTGCAGTTATGCACTGAAGGAGCTCGTTTCATCGGATTTTTACTTTCTTTACCATGCATCTATCGTAGTATAGAAAGTACATGGGTTTCCCAATGTTGATCACGTTTTCGCCTGCTAATTGACACTATTTTTAGCTCGTTCACTATTTCAACTGCCTTTGTGGCCTTGATGTTAGCTGTACATTATTCCTGACAATCCCCAATCCCATCAACTATTTCATTGCCCTCGACGCCTTTGTGACCTGGCACGCAGTAAAAGTGAAGTTACTTGCTTTAGCAACACTTTCCACTGCTGCCACCCAAGACAATTCTGCCTTGATTGCTGCTTGGCTGTCTACGTAGCTGTTGACTCCCTATTACTCGATTAAATATTTAAAAATTTGTCTGTTGTCCATTTTAAAGATATGTATGTATATATAATAATTGTAATTGTTTTCCAACCAGTAATCTACTGCTCCCAGTTGGCGTACCTATTGAGCGTCAACGTGCTAAGTTTATTGTGAAAATATACCGTGCCGACGGTCTACCGCGCATGAATTCTTCGCTTATGGCCAATGTAAAAAAAGCTTTTACGGGCGAGGCGAAAGATTTGGTGAGCCCTTATGTGCAGGTCTCCTTCGCTGGGCTAATGGTAAGTTGTTCGAAGATGAAGCTGAGAGGCATACTTAATTAGATTTGTTGTTATCCAAAGGGCAAGACGACAGTTAAGAAAAATGCTTACGCACCTGTTTGGAATGAACAACTAGTATTCACCGAAATGTTTCCGCCACTGTGTCAGCGTATTAAGGTGGGTTAGACCAATCAATCACTAAAGCTTAATCCGTGTATAAGTTATTACGATATCTCACTGATCTTATTTTAGATTCAACTGCGCGATGCCGATCCAATGAAACCGGCCATTATTGGCACACATTACATTGATCTTAAACAGATTTCGAACGACGGTGATAGAGGGTTTCTTCCCACCTTCGGACCTTCGTTCATACATCTATATGGTTCCACACGTGATTACACGCTGCTCGATCAACATTCGAACTTAAACACTGGCTTGGGTGAGGGTGTCAGCTACCGCGCACGTCTGCTACTCGCCATACGCACTGAAATAACGGACAACGTGGAAATGACAACGGAGAAGAATGTCGAACTGGAACCAGCATATCCGATTTCAGAGTCCTCCTACTCACGCAATGAAGAATTCTTTCTTTTTGGTTCTATTATAGAGGCTTCAATGCTAGATAAGAAAGTTAGCGACAAGACGGTTTTCTTCGAACTTAGTATGGGTAATGCAGGTAATTCTTTAGATGGGCATAATGAAAGCTTCTCTACGGCCACTGAGGATGGTGAGGATGGCTGTGTGCTGGAAACGGTCGATACGACATCTTTCAGCAGCGTCACAAACGCTTGCAAGCCTATCAGTCATGATAAGTCACATTACTATTTGCCTTATTGGGACTATAAGCCATGCATGGACGTGCGCTGCACACTTCCAGATCTAAGACGGCGTATGTATAATAGTAACATGTTATCGAAAATGTCCGAGAAATTGGTAAGTTTAACCAAAAGCAACAAAGGGAAAATAAATGTGAAAGAGCCCTTAATGACTTGCAGGAGGAGGGTTTGGTGAAGACGAAAAAGCTGATAGAAGATGAAGACGTGAAGGCGGAAGTGCGCTTACGCACCACACTTGAAGATCTCGCCTCAGCCTGTGCTCGATATCTAAGCATAACGAAGGCGAATGCTGTTGGACCGGGTAGTGGTAAAACGAAGCTAGACAAGGAACGCATGAAACTGTGCCAGAATGAAATCGTGAGTACTTCTTTCAAAAAGTAATCTAAAATTATATATAAAATCACACGTATATATCTGATTTACTGAATTTAGGAAAATCTGGGCAACTTGGCACGCAATCTTCGCGCACTGGTGACTCGTAGTTCACTCAAAGAGCGTTTTAAAACAGCACTGACGTTCCAACAAAAGCTTAAATTTCTTATCGACGATGTAGGTCAAAATATTCTATTCTACCTCTGATATGTTAATACTGTTACATTTATACTTTATTACTTCTCAGCCGCAACACTCGTTACCGGACATTTTCATTTGGCTCATCGCCAATGGCAAACGATATGCTTACCATCGCATGTCAGCTCGCGATTTAATTTACTCTAATATCGAGGAGGAAAGTGGAGTGCATTGTGCTAAAATACAGTCCATCTTCTTGAGATTACCTGGCAAACAGTCCATAGGTCCAGCCAGCTGGTTTATACAGGCCAAACTTTCTATTTATCTCTGGTTAGGCATTGTAAGTCATAAAGGACATTTCTTTGAGGGTCTACCCATCGGCTATGATCTGTCGCATGAGTTGCGCAATGCGGAAAGGCCTGGCGCTATGGCACCGAATAATATACATTATCTTGAAAAATCTGTAAGTTAGATTTAAAACAAATTTAGACTTTTAACAATTTATGTCTTATTCCGCAGACATTTCAACTACGCGCCCATATTTATCAGGCACGTTCTCTAATTGGTTCGGATGCGTCTGGACTCAGTGACCCTTATGCCACTGTATATATCACAGAATTCGCTAAGACAACGCAAGTCATCGAGGAAACATTGAGTCCTACATGGGATGAATTACTGGTTTTTGACGAAATTCTTGTTTTCGGCAGCAAAGATGAAATCAAGAAAGATCCACCCACAATTATTATCGAGATTTACGATCAAGATAAAGTTGGCAAATCTGAATTTATTGGACGCGCCATTGCGAAACCACGTGTAAAACTACGGGAGAATCCCTACACCACACCAACGCTAGAATGGTTTGATATTATCCGGGGTCATGAGAATGCTGGCGAATTATTAGCAGCTTTTGAAATGCTCGAAATTGGCTCCACTGATATGCCACGCCTAACAGAACCAAAGCAACTACCGAGTGGTCAACAAGTGGAGAAGTTGAAAGAGAAAAATGCGCCACCGCCACCAGGTACCATTTTACCGGTGCCGAAGGAAGTGCGTCCGCATTTGGCGAAATTCAAACTAGAAGTGTTGTTCTGGGGCTTACGTGATCTCAAGCGTGTACACTTGATGTCAGTTGACAAGCCCCGTATTGATGTGGAGTGTTCCGGCAAAATTCTGAGTTCCAATATTATACAGAATGCAAAGAAGAATCCGAATTTCCCAAGTATGCTGAAATCCATTGAGTTAGAACTACCACTGGAAGAAACGTATGCACCACCAATAACTATACGTTGCGTGGATTGTCGCTCGTTCGGTAGATATACTTTGGTAGGGACACATCAAATTACATCGATGCACCGCTACATTTATAAGCCCCCGCCAAAGGAAGACATCACTAAATATAAAACAATGGGTGGACAGATTATACTTTCAGCACCGCTTAATGAGGAGGGTTTGAGTAATCTCGTTGACGGTTTCAATATGCAAGCAATGATTGCGGCCAATGCGCATCAGGCGAACATGAAAGACTTTTATGGAAATCGTCGTTCATCCTGTGATCAATTTACCCTCTACGGTGCCGCCTGCGTTACAAAATTGTTAACAAACTTTTAAGTGTTTTTCCAAACAATCACTAATTATATTTCCTTTAGGGCCAAGAAGCAAGCATCAAAGAAAAGATCAGCGCAAATAAATAATGCAAATGAGATAATGATCGATCAGGATCATGATGATCAGCTTAGCCGTGATTGGTGGACTAAGTATTTTTGGTCCTATGAACGGCTTATCGATTTGACGAAAACGGAAAAATCACACGCCTCCGAAAAATTTCTAGCCCCGCCCGCTAACGCCACTACTACCAATGTACAGAAATTTGGCATCAAAGGAGCCAAGTTGGTGCAGAAGCTGAGCCCAAAAGGAATGACTGCTTTATCGCGGGATAAGCATGACCCCAATAGTGAAAAGGTATCTCCAAACCAGCAGACTAATAGGAACAATATGAATACGACAGCTATGTGTCAGGTAAGTTATAATAAATTCGGTGCGAGAATATTACGCCTACGAAAACTTTTAGATCTACCCCAATGAACTGGAGGCTCAACTAGAATACAATTACTTCCGCGAATGGCTTCATTCCTTTCCACTTTACCGTGGAAAGAAGACGGGCGATTCCGCCGAGGACGACAATCGCACTGTTGGATTCTTTAAAGGTGCCATAAAAGTGTACAAACTACCGCCACCAAAAGGCACTGAACTGCCTATACCGAATTTACCCACAAATGATCCACTTCATGTACTTGTACGTATTTATATAATAAAAGGAACCGACTTACACCCAATGGACTTAAATGGGAAAGCAGATCCTTACGTTGTGTTACAATTGGGTAATAAGAGAATATCAGACAAGGAGAACTATGTTAGCAAACAACTCAACCCGATATTCGGAAAGTGTTTTGAAGTAGAAGCAATCTTTCCGCAAGATTCAATGCTTACGGTGCAAATATTGGACTGGGATTTAGTGGGATCTGATGATCTGATTGGCGAAACGAGAATCGATTTAGAGAATCGCTATTATAGTAAGCATCGAGCAACTTGCGGGTTAGCGCTGAGATATGAAGTGTAAGTGAGAACTATTCGTTTAAAGCGTTTATTGACTGTGGTTTTTCAATCCCTCAGATGTGGATACAATCAATGGCGCGATCCCATGAAACCCACACAGATACTCTCAAAGCTGTGCAAAGAAAACAAATTAGACACCCCACATTACTTTCAAGATCGGGTAGCCATTGGCAAATACTGCATGACCTTTTCTGATGAGGAGGTAATAGCATGGAATGGACCGACAACTTGTAGAAATCGTGACGAACATCTGGCGCTTGCGGTGCTGCACAGATGGAGTGAAATACCAAAAGTGGGTTGCAAGGTAAGCAGGGGATATAAAGAACCAAACTATGCCGCTAAAGAAAGCGTTTGTTTTATATGAAGTCTAATTTGCAATTGTAATCTACCTCTTTTCTAAAAAGATTGTGCCCGAGCATATAGAATCACGACCTCTCTACAATCCCGAAAAGCCCGGTATTGAGCAGGGTAAGATCGAAATGTGGGTCGATATGTTTCCCATGGATATGCCCTTACCAGGTCCACCTGTGGATATATCACCGCGTAAGCCAAAGGAGTACGAATTGCGAGTCGTGATATGGAATACCGACGATGTTGTACTGGAAGATGATGCTTTCTTCACAGGAGAAAAAATGTCAGATATTTATGTAAAAGGGTATGTAACTATTTGTGGTTTTTAACAACAAATTCATTTTAGATTAAACCTTTTTTATGTCACAGTTGGCTTACGGGGCCACAAGATATGCAAGCAACAGATATACATTATCGTTCACTTACTGGTGAGGGCAATTTCAATTGGCGTTTCATATTTCCATTCGAGTATCTGGCGGCAGAAGAACGCATTGTACTCTCTAGGCGCGAGTCACTATTCAGTTGGGATGAAACAGAGGTCAAAATACCAGCGCGTCTCGAACTACAAGTATGGGATGCGGATCACTTTTCAGCTGATGATTTCCTTGGTATTTAACAACTGCACAAATTAACGTTTTCTTTCATTAATGAAATAATTTTAACAGGTGCGATTTCATTTAATCTGAATCGTTTTCCACGTGGCGCAAAGACCTCCAAACTATGTACACTGGACATGCTTAAATCAGACACTACATTGCCCACCGTGAATATATTCAAGCAAAAACGTGTGCGCGGCTGGTGGCCGTTCTATGTGAAGAAACAGAATGAAGAAATGGAGCTAACTGGCAAGGTGGAAGCTGAGTTCCATTTGCTAACAAAGGAAGAAGCCGAACAGAATCCAGCCGGTTATGGACGCAGCGAGCCGGACCCACTAGAGAAACCAAAGTAAACTTTTTTTATTGCAACACATTGCACATAATTCTAATTAATTTTCTGCTTTTTCCGCTTACAGCCGCCCAGATGCTTCCTTCATGTGGTTCCTAAATCCGCTCAAATCTATACGCTACATTGTCTGGCATAATTACAAATGGGCCATACTAAAGGCGCTGCTTATATTTGCCATTTTCTTCTTCTTAATTCTCTTCGTTTATTCGGTGCCTGGATATTCGGTAAAGCGGTTGCTAGGCGCCTAAAGGGAAGCAAAGCGCCAGTGTTGAATGCTTCAAATCAATCAAAATTGTTAAGGTTATTATTTTCATTTTTATTTTCATGTTCTAACTCGAAAATTGCGGATACAAAGTATTTTTTTATTGTTTAAATTTTTGTTCGGGAAAGTTTGCCAAAGTAATAGTACGAAAATGTCGTAATCTCTTTTGCTGTAAATCCAGAATTTATACATATGGAATGTAGTGGCTAGCTTTCCTGCCAAAGAAGGAAAAGCAGGTTTTTAAACCAAGGCAGCCAATTGGCTCATAAATTCGTGAACAAACTCAGCTGATTTGCTTTTCTTTTTGTAAGTTAAGGCAATGTTTTCGCTCGCCATATTTTATTCGGAAGAGATGTTCGCAAAAGATGTGAGTTAGAGTAAGGAAGGTAATGAATAACGGAAGGAAGATAAGGAAGGTAATACTTGCAGCATATTTGGAAGATTTCTTAAACCTAATTTTATTCGCATTATAGGGTAGGAGTTTTCAAGATCCATTCAGCGTGTAGGCTATAATTTTCAATATAGTATACGTAGAAAATATAAGGTAATTGAAAATGAAATACTTAAGTTCCATAAAAAACAAAACTTTCATAGGAAGATGTGTCTAATAAGAAGTGCTCATGCAGCAATGGTACGCTGTACCTGATTTTACTTGTAGTGTCAATCATATCAGTAAAATTAGTTAGAATAAATTGCAGAATGACTTATGAATAAATGTTTCAGGGTTTTCGATAAGTGTGATGAACAGAATGTACAAAGAATTAGCAAATTTTGAGGGATATATATTCTATATTTTGTGATGCATTTGTACACAGGGAACGAGCGGGATCCAGTGCGATTGTGCGATCGTGAAACAAATCGGATAAGGTAGTTAAAAGCCTAGTATTCAAACCATAACTTAGCGTGTTGTACTTACGAATTTTACAGAAAACTAGCAACAATATACCCTAAAACAATCAAACTTATATACACCCACACAAATACATTCTACTTACGTACTTGTGCTCGTTTTACGAAATATTTTGCTATAACTAAAAAATTTAAATTGAAAAAATGTGAGCTAATTTACGCAACAAAGTGTTGTTGCATGAATGAAAAATAAATGTAAAAGCGCATATAAAAACTAAGAACTTAAGGACGTAAGCAATGAGTTGTGTTTATTAAATTGCTCAATTGTGCTTATAAAAGAAATCTTTAAAATCGTTATTATATTTACTACGTACGATTTACGATTTACCATTTAATAGTACACTAGAAAATCTTGTATATTGTGCACTTGACATTGTTTTGCTCAACATCATCATTTATTAATAAATATTTATTAAATATATATACATATTAATAAYAATTAATTAATAAAAAGTCGTTCACATCCAAAATTGTCTATGTTTTATTAAAAATATGGAAATGCAGAATATTGGACAATTTCTTTCCATTTTTTCCGGCTTCGAAAAATTTTGTTCTATAATAATACTATACATATGTATGTACATGGAGGAAGTAGTTGTCATGGCATAAATTAACAAGCTAACAAATATAAATATACATATAATAAATATAATATATATAAAAATAATATAAATAATAATTACGTAACTATATTTGGTAATCACCTTAAGGCATACATCACTAAATTCAACGCTAATTTAATWTACAATAATACTATCAATACACATACGTATTAAAGAATGTAGGAAGCGAGATTGCGGTCGCTTGGGAGGCATTTACAAGTCTACACTTAACATAAAACTCTGGCACATTTATTTCATTTGCGTTGCATTAACTTTAAACTGAGCATTAATAAAACCGATTTAAATTTATAGTTAAATTCAAAAGTAAGCTACCCACTCGGGTATTTTATATATAAAATTATATGGTCAGCTGAAGTGCAAAGCAGCATATCATCAAAATAAACGAAATTGCTTTATTTTGTTGCTTACGATTTACTACATCATATTACATATACGTAGCATTTAATTTCCAGCTTGCACTGTCAGTTATAACCAATATATAACTAATGTATAACCAATGTATAACCAATATATAATCATTTTATAACCAAAACTGAAATTTTGTTCAATATGAGTTGTGCTTTCGCCTGTAAACTAACGAAAAGTGATGTTACGTTATTTTGCATTTTAGGTGACGATATAAAAAGCAGATTTAAAAAAATATTTAGCAACAATATACATTTACATATATACAACGGTACTTGACCGCAACTCATAAATGTGTCGTTTGCATGTTACGTCGCGTGATTAAACGTCCCGCGTTCGGAAAAAAGCGAAAGTGTTTCGGAAAATTAAACACCCTCGGTATTATTCTTATTACATAATCCGGCAACAGGCAAGCAATAACTGTGATTATAGTAAACAGCCAAACGGGTAGCGAACAAAGCAATTTGTTATATGCCCAATAGATATCGGTGTCGTAGTCGCTGTAAAGAATAGAGTAAAGTGGTCATTATTTAAAATAATTTTTGTTAAAATTTATTTCCCTACAGAAAAAAAATCATAGCGGAATGAAAACCATTGGAAAGAGAAGATGGGTGATACAAGTAGGGGTACTTATTTCAATAGCCTTTTTTTGACAGATCATGCGTGAGTCGAACTGTTAAGTGATGCGGTATTTTCTAGCATTTTATGATAGAAGGACTTATGCTTTAACAATGCTCACAAATCGTTTAGCTTTTTATGAAAATACACGTTCTGTAAAGAATGTGCTTCGCGATGCGCTTAACTTACGGTCAAGATAATCGGCCTATTCAAAGTACTATTTGCAACATCATACCCTATGTTGACACACAGCATTAATTATTGAATAATATTTGATCGAATAGATCACGTCCAACACGCAACAAAAAACTTCAACAGGCGTAGCTGAGAGTGTACACGGAGACTGTGGATAGTCAATTCGGCGCCGTTCGCAGCAACTCTGACTGACGTATGGAACGACTGGGCGCATTTTACGTCGAGATCTTAAATTGATAGCATACAAAATACAGCTTGTGCAAGAACTGAAGCTGCTCGACCTTCCCAAGGGACATGGTTTATCTCTATGGGCTCTTAATAAGTGAACAAGATGACCTTCTTAGATCATTTCTTGTTCAATAGCAAAACAAGCTAAATTTCCGCATTTGGGACGAAGAGCAATCTGAAGAGATTTTAGAGCATCAAGAAAGTACAACGATTTGATGTGGTTTGTGGGCCGGGAAAGCAATCGGTATATATTCCTTCAAAATGGATGCCGTTGAGAACGTAACCGTCTATGGCGACCGTTGTCACGAAATGATAACGAACTATTTAATGCCTGAAATTGAAGCTCGTGATCGCGGCGACATTTAGTTTCAACAAAACGGCGTCACTTTCGACACATCACGATTTATTAAGAGGAGACTTCGGTGGGCATATAATTTCTGGACCGGTCGATCTACCACCAAGATCTTGTGATATCACACCGTTAGACTTTTTCCTTTGGGGATGTGGTAAGCAAAAAAAAAAAATATATGCGGAGCAAAACCTCACCAGCCATTTACCATTTACAAACCTCACCGTCAATTACCAGTCGAAAAGCTCTAACGAGTCATCGAAAATTGGACTCAACGAATGGACCATCTGAAACGTAGGAACATTTCATATAGATTATCTTCAAAAAAGTAAATACCAAAGAATGTTTCTTCGAATGATAATAAACATTTTCCTTAAATTTCAAGTTTCTGCGTTTTTTATACTCTCGCAACAAAGTTGCTAAAGAGAGTATTATAGTTTTGTTCACATAACGGTTGTTTGTAAGTCCTAAAACTAAAAGAGTCAGATAT